AGTAGAGACGGGGTTTCACCATGTTGACCAGGATGGTCTCGATCTCTTGACCTCGTGATCCACCCGCCTCGGCCTCCCAAAGTGCTGGGATTACAGGCGTGAGCCACCGCGCCCGGCCGGTAGGCAGAATTCTAAGATGGCCCCCAAGATTTCCATTTCCCAGTGTACACAGACCTCCTTCCAGGTATTCAACCAAACACTAATGTCAGTGCTGCTATGAGATAATTGGTTCCAAATCATCGCACTGTAATAAAGGGAGATTATCCTTTATTACAGTCCTAACAATCACTTGAGCCCATAACAAAGGGACCAAGGAGGCTCAGCCTGGTGGCTCATACCTGTAATCCCAGCACTTTTGGAGGCCAAGGCAGGTGGATCACTTGAGGTGAGGAGTTTGAGACCAGACTGGTTAACATGGTGAAACCCCATCTCTACTAAAATCATAAAAATTAGCAGGGCGTGAGCCAGGTACACTGGCTCAAGGCTGTAATCCCAGCACTTTGGGAGGCTGAGGCTCATGGATCCTGAGGTCAGTATATCAAGACCATCCTGGCCAACATGATGAAACCTCATCTCTACTAAAAATACAAAAATTAGCTGGATGTGGTGGCAGGTGCCTGTAATCCCAGCTACTTGGAAGGCTGAGGCAGGAGAATTGCTTAAACCCGGAAGACAGAGGTTGCAATGAGCTGAGAAGCGCCACTGCACTCCAGCCTGGACAACAGAGTGAGACTGTCTCAAAAAAAAAAAAAAAGGGAAGGCGGGGAGGGGAAAATTGGTAAAAGAGATTAGAAGCATGAGAGGTATACAATGAGAGGCAGAGTCTTGAAGATGAAAGGAACTACGTCGCAAGGAATGTAGACAGCTTCCAGGAGCTGACAGTGGCCCCCAGTTGACAGCCAGCAAGGAAACAAAGCCTTTAGTTCTACAGTCATGAGGAACTGAACTTAGCTAACAATCAGAATGAGCTTGGAAATGGATTCTTCCCCAGAGACCCCAGAAAGAAATACAGCTCAGATGACAACTTGACTTCAGCTTTTTAAGAACCTGAACATGGAAACCAAACACTCTGTGTCCCAATTTATGACCGACAGAACTGTGAGCTAACAAATGTGTATGGTTTTAAGTTGCTCAATTTGTAGTAATTTTTTTTTTTTTAGACAGGGTCTAGCTCTGTCACCCAGGCTGGAGTGCAGTGGTACAACTGCAACCTCCACCTTCTGGGCTCAAGTGATCCTCCCACCTGAGCCTCCCAAGTAGCTGGGACTATAGACGTGAACCAGCATGCCCGGCAAATTATTTTTGTATTTTTTTGTAGAGATCGGGTTTCACCATGTTGCCCATGCTGGTCTGGAACTCCTGGATTCAAGCAATCCACCTGCCTTGGCCTCTCACAGTGCAAGGATTAGATATGAATTTCATTTTTAATCCACGACTGGGCAGACACAGGGTAACAGTGCTAGGAGTGGTTCACATCTTCTCCATAAAGGATGGGAAAAAGGAGGGTCTTTTCGGTCATCTCACGGTACAAGGTAACAGAGAGTCACATGAGCCACAATGCTCATGCCAATTTGTGGTAATTTCTTACATAATAATAGAAAACTAATACAGCAATATCTAAAGCAAAATTTGAAATCTGATTTATCAATTTTACTTTTAGGAATTTATATTATAAATAAACTCTCAAATACATAAAGATACAACTTTTCCTAATAGTAAAAACAAAAGGGAGGGGACCAGGCACAATGGCTCATGCCTATAATCCCTGAGCTTTGGGACGCCAAGAAAGGAGGATCACTTGAGCCCAAAAGTTCAAGACCAGCCTGGGAAACATAGCAAGAACCTACCTTTACAAAAAAATATTTAAAAGTAGCTGGGTGTAGGTTGGGCATGGTGGTTCATGCCTGTAATCTCAGCACTTTGGGAGTCCAAGTCGGGCAGATCACTTGAGGTCAGGAATTCAAGAGCAACCTGGCCAACATGGTGAAACCCTTTTTCTACCAAAAATACAAAAATTAGCAGGGCGTGGTGATGGGCACCTGTAATCCTAGCTACTTGGTAGGCTGAGGTAGGAGAATCGCTGGAAGCTGAAGGCGGAGGCTGCAGTGAACTGAGATTGTGCCATTGTACTCCAGCCTGGGGAACAGAGCAAGACTCCATCTCAAATAAATAAATTATTAAAGTAGCTGGGTTTAGTGGAGTGCACCTGTAGTCCCAGCTACTCAAGAGGCAGAGGAGGGAGGATCCCTTGAGCCCAGGAGGTCAAGACTGCAGTGAGCCATTATCACATCATTGCCCTCTAGCCTGGGGGACACAATTGCAAAAAATAAATAAGTGAAATTAAAAAGTAAAGTGTACCAGTCACTTCTCTAACAGACAAAAGGCTAATCTAAATAGTTAATGAGTTCCTAGAAATTGAGGGGAAAAAATACCAAATACTCAATAGAAAAGACATGAACAGAGAAGGCACAGAAAAAGAAATACAGATTGGCCCTTAAACATAAGAGATGTTCAGTCTCACTCAAAGAGAAATGCAAATAAAGCTTCTGAAAATATAGAGGGAAAGAAAACAAATTGTTTCTCCTACTGTTGCTACTCACATGCCACTTAACACAACCCTTCTAACACTTTGTGTGTATAGTTTTTCTCCACACACCAAACCATCCTCCAGCTGAGTGGAAAAAAACTCAAACTGTTTTTTCTGTTCTCTCACTCAACAACAATCAACACAGAAGACTTCTGTGATCAAACATGTGGGGTTTCTCCCCACCCACCATCAATTCTGCAGCGGACACCAGCTAGGTGTCCTCTAATTCAATTCGATTCTACCTGGAAATTGAGTCAGATGCCACAGGCTGAAGCTCAGTCCCATAAGACTGTCCCCCACTGCAGATGCCGGTTGTAAGTAGTAGGCTGTCACATATACTTCTGAATGAATGGCTATATATCCCTTGCTTGGGTTCAAACAATTCGCTAGAGTGGCTCACAGAACTCAGGGTAATACTTCACTTAAATTTACTGGCCTATTATAAAGGATAGTTTTGACTCACAGATAATCAGACAAAAGACATGCATAGGGTGAGGTATGGGAGAAGAGGCACAGAGTCTCCATGCCCTCTCTGGGCGTGCCACCCTCCAGTAACCTCCACATGTCCAGTTATCCGGAAGCTCTACAATGTCTGTCCTCTTGGATTTCTATGGAAGCTTCATTATATAGACACGATTGATTCAATCATTGGTCATCAGTAATCAATTCAACCTTCATCCCTTCTGCTCTCCCTAGAGGCTGGAAGTGGGACTGAAAGTACCAGCCTTCAAATCATGCCTTGGTCTTTCCAGTGACCAGCTACATCCTGAAGCTGTCTAGGAGCCCCCACCCATCAGTTATCATTAGCATCCAAAAGCATTCTTATTCCAGAGATTCTTCAGGGACAACCAACAAATAGACAGTTCACATTATCAAAAAGCTACACTGGGGCCGGGCGCGGTGGCTCAAGCCTGTAATCCCAGCACTTTGGGAGGCCGAGGCGGGTGGATCACGAGGTCAAGAGATCGAGACCATCCTGGTCAACATGGTGAAACCCC